CACATGATCTCGTCAGGGAATGCATGGAGGATCATGAGGGTTCTGTAGGTCTCCAGATGGTCGACTGGGTCTGTCGTACCGTCAAAAGAGTCGATGGTGGACATCTTAAACTTGGGAGGTAGAGGTTTGTCTGGGATGGATGCGACAAATGGTGAGTTTGCTGTAGTAGAGGGTTTATGCTGGATGTTCTGCCTGACCCCTTGGAGTTGGAGCTTCATGACTCGGAGTTCCGCGTCCCAGAGAGGGATGTGGTCACCTCCGGAGGGCAGCGGGAGCTGGACGCTGCTAGCCTCTCCTTCAAGGATTAGTGGCGGGATCGATGGTTGTGGGCCCCGGGGTGGTAGGTTTACACCTGGAGGAGGGGGTTGCAAGCCTTCTCTGTTGAGCGGATTAGGCTGCGGAATAGGATGGCTCGGGGCTTGTTCATAGTTGGGGGGAATATCGGGAGGTGGTGAAGGGGGCATAGAAAGGTCTCTTTGGAGTAGGGCATTGATTAGGGCTTGGTTTTGCTCGGCCATGCGGTTAATGTTGTTGGTAAGCGCGATGAAATATTGTGGTGGGTTGTTTGGATTGAGGGGGTCGGCTTGGTGGTCGGTAGCATTTTGGTGAGAAGCCATGGATCTAGTTGTGACCATACACTTCGATGGGTAGCGAGAAAGGGTTATTGGAACAAGGTCTCCGGCGACAGTGAACACAACTGGCGCGGGGAGCAAAGCTTTCCCACAAACGGCGCCAACTGATGATACAGTTACGATACAACGGGTTCCGGAGGGAATGAGTCGGACTAGTCTACGCTTCTCCAACCGATATCTGAATGGCCAAGCCCACCTGAGAACCTGCACAGGAGTTCAACGGGGAACGGGGAGTTCCCCAGCGAACCCTCCGACGAGCAAGTTAGAGAAAGAGAGAAGTGGAAAGTAGAGATATGAAATGGAGATAGAAATCTTAACCTTCTTCTCGTTTCCAACATTTGCTTATATCCTTTGGTAATCATTTCGTTGTCCCGTCCTATCTGTCATCTTGGCCCCAAGTCTATGCTGTAGCTTACCTTGTTCAGGGCGAGGGCATGCCGTTCCGACGGAGAGGTGTTGTCGTAATAAATGCTGTGAGAGGCTGCATTAATGGGGATGTGCAGTGGTAATAACTTTGCAGATCTTTGTCTGCTGATGTGGCTTGTCCTTTGCCTGCCACATGTCTGAATGTCATTGGTCCTTCATGTCATGTTGATTTCCGGCTGTGCTGGGCCTTATCAGTTGGGTTATGTCTTGGGCTCTAAGTGGTAGGCTTGGGTTGTTCATAGTGGGTTATGGCCTTTCTAGGCCTAACCACATTAAATTCTATTATTGATTTTTGCGTAAGTAGAAGAAAAGTTGCTAAAATATTACATTTTAGTGCTACTTTTTAACCATATGTATGTATAGGTTAGAATAAATTTGATTTTCTTGTAATTGGAATTTCGTAATCTCCTTGTTAGGTTCACTTTTTAAAATTTGTTTTTTTTTTAATTAAAAATATTTTGATGAAAACAAGCATCCAAAAAAAAATGTAATATTTTCAAAATTTATTTTTACCATCAAAACGAAAAAAATATTTTAAATGACAAGTGTTTTTTTAATTTTTATTTATTTATTTATTTATTTTATAAAACTAGGTTTTAGTTTTAAAAAAATAAAAGAATAATTTTTGAAAACTCAACCAAACAATTTTTTTAAATCTCATTTTTGTGTATATTATAAATACACTCCTAAGATTTACTTAAAATACAATTTACTTCATGTGGTTCTAGAGATTATATCCCATACCATGAAGTTTTTAATTTCATAACAAATTTGCTATTTTGTTAATAAGTCATCAAATCAATTAACAGTTTTTAATGACCTCAAAACTTTGTTTCAATTAATAATTCATGTAATTTTATCATTGTATAAGAGAACAGTTTAAAATTTTTCACTTTTTCAATTAATTCTATTAAATAAAAAATTTTGACAGGAATATATTTGTTATTTTCCAAACTACAGGGGACAATTCACATTTTAAACAAATCTCAAAGGTTATATTTATAATTTACTCTATAATAAAATTGCAAGTGATAGATCATGGAGTGAGCTCTTCATTGGTAGAGAAGGTGAAATTGGAGATTCAAGATTTCTTCAATCTGCCAATAGAAGAGAAGGACAAGCTTTGGCAACAACCAGAGGATATAGAAGGATTTGGACAAGCCTTTGTTGGGTCCGAGGAACAGAAGCTTGATTGGGCTGACTTCTTTTACATGGTCACCCTTCCAACTCACTTGAGAAAACCTCATTTATTTCCCAAACTCCCTCTTCCCTTAAGGTCTCTCTCTTTCTCTCTCTCACTCACTCTCGAGTAATTATCATGTGTTTTGAAAATTTTATATTCACAGAGTGCTCAACCAATAGTAAGGACCTTACAAAGTACATGACCCTACAAACAAGAAAATGATATAAGAAAATACCATTGACTGGGGACACGATTAAGTAGTTTTCTTAACCAATATAATAATTTATGCTCTCAAATGAATCTCTCTAACTAAAAACACTGTATTTGGAAAGTAATCAAAATCTCATCAAGAAAAACAACGTATAACAGTTTCAGAAACTAAACTTTTTATCTCTAGAAGTGAAATTTTGTTATAAAAATACTTTCTGTCATCGTGAATATAATCGCTAAAACATAATCTCGAAAAGTCTAAAAAAGACTTTTAGCAATAGAATTTAAAAATATCACTAATACATGCATGACAAAATAATTTGTTCAAAAAATATTATTTTTTGAAACAAAAAATTTGATCTCAAAAGATAATAACTCACCACTAAATATCATATTTTGTCACTGAAATTATAATAATAACACTTTTGGCAACAAAAATATTTCGTCCCTAAAATTGTTTTGTCCCTAAAGTTTTATCTCTAAAACCTTAATTTATTGTAGTGTCATCTACTGAAGACGAATCAAAAATCAAAAATATTTGACATAGTTTTGAAAAGAAATTACTAAATATGAAAATAAATCAAGCTAAATAAGCCTAAAAAAACCGTTTTTCTCTTCTTTGTCTTCCCCCCCTTTTTTTTTGGTGGTAAATTATCCTAAAATTATAATAATAACACTTTTGTCAACAAAAATATTTCGTCCCTAAAATTGTTTTGTCCCTAAAGTTTTATCTCTAAAACCTTAATTTATTGTAGTGTCATCTACTGAAGACGAATCAAAAATCAAAAATATTTGACATAGTTTTGAAAAGAAATTACTAAAGATGAAAATAAATCAAGCTAAATAAGCCTAAAAAAACCGTTTTTCTCTTCTTCTCTTTCCCCGTTTTTTTTTTTTTTTTTAAATTATCTTCTATGGATTCAAAAAGATCATTAGCAAACACTTGTCTCATACCATGCAGAGATTGCATAGAAGCATATTCAGCAGAACTTAAAAACCTTGCCATGAAATTACTTGAGTTTATGGCGAAAGCACTAAATATGAAAGGTGAAGAAATGAGGGAGTTATTTGAGGAAGGGATGCAATCCATGAGGATGAACTATTATCCTCCATGCCCACAACCGGAGCTTGTCATCGGACTGACCCCTCATTCGGATGTGGTCGGACTCACTATCCTCCTTCAGATCAATGAAATGGAAGGGTTGCAAATCAAGAAAGATGGAATGTGGATTCCTCTTAAACCTCTTCCAAATGCTTTTATTGTTAACATTGGAGACATGCTAGAGGTAATATCGTTTTCCAACTATGCTTTATGAAAACGGTTAATTTCACTTTTATCTTTATATTATCTATTTCATCCTTTTAGTTTCTAGAGTTCCAGATTTCAGTTCATATAGACCTCATTTGGAAAGTTGGCTATTTTAATTGGTTTTTTTTTACTATTTTAGTTTGGCTAAAAAATGTGTGTTTGGAAAGTTGGTTGTCTTGTTTTTATAGTTGATTTGATGATTATGAGAGAAAAAAAAATGAAATAATTATGGTTTAGATGTGATATTTTTTTTATTGACTATTTTAACTTATTTTGTCTTTATTGACTATTTTAGCCTCCAACCTACTTCCCAAACACTAGTCTAATTGGACATGTCTATTTAGGTAAAAAGATAATTTCTATAATTTAGACAACATAAATTGAGAAACTCTATGTTACACACTCTCAAAATATGTATACCATATGTACATGTTATATATTTTTGTAGTATATATTATGCATTCTTGTGGTAATGATAAAGAACTTTTTTGATAAGAGATAATCTGTGTATGTAAATTTCATACACAGATTTACATAAACATATTTAGAAAATAATGACGAGTAGAATACAAGACAGAAAATTTCAATGAAAATAATCAGAATACATGAGATTAGATAGACAATCAATGAGTACCCCATACATGCAAATACATAGACAATCAATGGATTAAGGCTTTGAAAATAATGAGAGAGAAAGGAAAAAGAGGGGGAAAGGCATCAAACCCTAAAATCAAACCCATTTGCAACATGAAACCCATAAAACTCTAGTAATGAAACCACTTCAAACAAACCCATTGTAGAAATGAACAAAAAATTAAACTAAATAGGTAGAATAAACAACCCTAGAGCAAAACCATATGGGGAAATAGAAGGGTAGTGAGAGAGAGAGAGAGAGAGAAAGAGAGAGAGAGAGAGCGACAGAGACTGACAGAGTAAGAGACCGAAAGGGAGTGAGAAAAAGACCGAACTTGTTAGCTGCGGTGGTGGTGCTGATTTGAGACGTACGGGGAAGACGGTGCTGAGGATGCGCGGTGGTGAGGTTTGCTGGTTATTGATCTGTGTGAGAGAGCGGTGGTGGCGGTACAGAGAGGCAAAATGTGTGAGCCAAAATGTGTGAGGCGCGAATATAAAATAACTCCCTCTAAAAAATTTCGATCTTTAGCGACTAAATGTTGTATTTGTCAGGAAATGTTAATATATAATAATATAAGGAGTTAAAAACATATACAACGACTGAATTTTTGCTGGTTGCTAAAAAGTTTTCAATATCATATTCTGACATTTGGCGACTAAATATTATGTTGTCGGCAAAAGGTATAATACGCCGACCAAAAATAATTTGGTAGCGTAAAATATATATTATCGCCGACTAAAATTTCTTTTAGTAGCGAATGATGGAATATTTAGCGACAAAAATATTTTTTGGTCGCCAATAAACTATATTTCTCGATTAAAAAAATTTAGTAGCTACATCATTCGGTGACTAAATAATTTTAGTAGCCAAAAGTCATTGTACAACGACTAAAATTTAATTTTGTCGCCAATTACGCAATTTTTAGCGACTAAATAATATTGTAGTCGCCTATTATTTGATAATTAGCGACTAAATTTTCTTTAGTCGTCGATAAGCAATTTTCACCGACTAAAAAGCTTTAGTAGCTAAATCTTTTACTTTTGCCGACTAATAAAATGTTTGGTCGCTAATTCAATAGCTTTTGGCCTCCAATTTTTTTTTAGTTGCTAAATTCGGTTGCCAAAAGTGTTATTTCTTGTAGTGTGAATAATTTTATATTATATATAGAATAACTTTTATTTTATTTTTTAAATTCTTCAATTAGCTTTTTATATAGCATAAATATTCTTTTTTAACATTTTTTACCATTATTGTTTTTTTTTAAATCTTTTTGTTCTATTGTTCCAAACCATTCACATTCATTAAATTATCATATCTCTAAATTTTCTAATGATTCAGTAGTTGTGGTGAGCGTTATGAAATATCAGATAGAAGATCATTGGCCAGTTTATCATGGCCACACACAACTAGGCAGTGGGAAATCTATTGTCATTTTGACTTCCATGGTATTTGGCAGATGGTGACAAATGGAATATACAAGAGCATAGAGCACAGAGCAACAGTTGACTCTGAGAAAGAGAGACTCTCCATCGCCACATTTCTCGGTGCAAATTTGGAACTAGATGTGGGTTCGGCTCCCAGCCTCATCACTCCTCAAACTCCTGCTATATTCCGGCGAGTCAATGTTACCGATTACTTAAAGCTTTCCTTGCTCGTGAACTCCAGGGAAAGTCATGTATTGATGTCATGAGGATTCAAAATGAAGAAGATGACGTCCAAACCAATTCACAACTATCAACTACCTAAGCCACCTATATATGGATTGTGAAAACCTTCTATTCAAATAAATTAAAGCTTTTCGCTTAGTGATTTTTTAGTACTACTGTGTGGTGTGAAATTATCACTTAAATTTCGTTATATGAAATAACGAGGTCAACTCCTATGACAGAAATTTGATATATGTGGTGTTTGTTTCTACCTGGGCTACTGTGCCGGTTGGTTGGTTGGTTTGGTATAATACTTCTTAATCAATTTAATATAATACTTCTCGTATATGTAATTATTTTCATATTTATTGAGAAAATAATATAATTTGTATTCAAATAAATTATGGTGTTCAACCTACTTACCTTATCATTTGGTAACAACTGATCGGCGAAATGATTGAAGGGTGCCTCTTTAGACGCGAAGCATCTCCATCGATTATGATCGGCGATCTCTAGTGATCTCCTCAGCGTTCAGCGATTCACCGATCGATGATATGCAAAGGTCAGTGGTTCGAATTTGAAGAAGATCTAGGTTAGAACTCACTAGTGGTGACTTGATCACTCTTTCAAATATACCTTCCATCATCATTCGAGTAAGGCCTTTTGCATCCTCTCTGACCCTCTGATTGAATCTGGGTATTGTGTTTTGGGGGAAGCCAAGAGTAGCTGGTCATGTTCTACCCAGTTAAGAAGTTTTCACACTCCACCTATTTGATAAAATGCTTCAGTGAAAATGCAATGACACAAGGAAACAGAGGTTGGATTCCGATAGTGAGGCAGGGGAAAGAGGTGGAGTTCAAGGTAAGGAAGTTAAGCATGGACTATTCACTTTATTTGTGGATAATTTACCTTCAGGTATGGATGCTAAAACTCTGTCCAAACTATTCACTCAGCTTGGCATAGTTAAGGATGTTTTTATACCCTTCAAAAGAAGGATAATGTCAAACTCTAGATTTGGTTTTATGAGATTTGACTGCCCTGTAGCAGCAGACATTATCATCCAAAAAGCGAATGGTCTGTTGGTAGATGAAAGGGTGTTAGAAGTCAAAAAAGCTATCAATATCAAGAGCAACAAAGATGAACAAAGCAGGAGCAGACCTCATACCATTAGAAGACCTTTTGAAGCTATCAAAAACAAGGATGATGTTTCATTTATAGGCCGAAGATCATTCGCTGAAGTATTAAAAGGGGTCACACCCACTGTGGTTGAGAAAACAAGATTGATCATAAAAGCCAATGAAGAGGGTAATGGATGGCTTTATGATAGTGCAATAGTTAGGCTTAATTCTGAATACTCTACTATTAGCATTGAAAATGTCCTGAAGGAGAAAGGGTTGGATCAGGTAATGGTTAGAAAAGGAGGATGAAGAGATATAGTATTAACCTTCAAATCTCAGAGGAGCTGAAATCAAATATTTGCAATATCAAAGAATGGCTTAAGGATTGGAGTCAGTTTTGTGGTAGAATGGAAGCCAGGATTTTATCTAGAACAAGAGAGATGTGTGTGGTTGAGGTGTTATGGCTTACCTTTAAGTCTTTGGAATAGGGACACATTCAACAACATTGGAAGCATTTGGGATACTGTTCTAAGCTTGGGTGAAGATATTTGCTAACCAAAGTCTTTCTCCCATACCAGAATCAGAGTGGCTACATCTTCTATGGAGATTATTAACAAAAATATATTTTTGAAGTGCAAGGGTAAACTTTATCCCATTCTTGTGTGTGAAGAACATTTAGCAGAACTTTGTATCATGAAACACGATGGTCTGGAAGAGTGCAGTTCCAACGAAATTTGTGGTAGTGGTGTGGAAGGAACAATTCCAGAGGAATGCTATAGGGAGAAGGAGGGAATAAGAGTGATGGAGGTAAACACAGTTGTTGAGGAGTTAAAGTGTGATGGAGATTTCAGCAGAGAAGAGGAAGCTTGTTCTAAGGAGGTAGAGCAGAGGATAGGGCCTAGTGATTGTCATTTGGGAGAGGAGGTTAACACAGTTGTTAAGGAGACCAAGGTGGAGGAGTCAGTGCATAGTCCAAAAATCAATGTTGAGCAAGCTTTTACTCCTGGTTTCCCTAGAAGCTTTAGTGGATCTAGAGTTGGGCATGGACATGGCATCAATCTTGAAGTGGATTTGGCCCAAGCACTAAGTATGAATTTAAATGGGAAAGGTTTTCTAAGCCTAAATCATTCAGGCTTAGGGAAGCAACCTGCCTCTGTCCCTAAACTCCTACGGAATGAGAAGAAAAAAAGAAAGAAAAAGGTTCAGCTAGAGAGGTTCACCAGTTTTGCTAGACTTCATGGGCATAAAGCTGCAGCAGTCAGCAAGCACAACTCTAAGTCTGTCATCTTTAGACTAGCAGCAGTTGCGATAGCTCATTCAGATCTGTCTGAGGGTGTTACTAGCTCGAGCAATCTTCTCCTCAATGAAGCTAAAGCCACTTTACAATTGGGTAAATCTCTTGGCATTAATTTCAATGGAAAAGAAGAGGATGTTTTGAATAAGATTATTGAGTTAGAGTTACAGGACAGAGAGGTCCAAATAGGAGGGATGGGTCTAAGAAGGAAGTAGGATGGCAACAAGTAAGCAACATTGGAGCATGTAGTGGGTTTTATGCTTTTGTTAGATAGTCTTTGGGTGGTGGCAACAAGCTGTTAAGCTAGTTTTTGGGTGGTAGAATCTAGTGGTTGTGGTCTTGTGAGTTAGTGTTGGTTTCTCACCAACACTATGCTTGGTTTTCCTTTTTCTCCCTTTTCTTTCTCATCCTTATTGATGTATTCTCATATGTAATGTATGGTTTCATCATCAATAAAGATTTTCTTTATTGATCAAAAAAAAAAAAAAAAACTACTTACCTTATCAAACAAAATGTTGTAACTACTCATGTTGACTCTTTTTTTAGTTGTATTGAAATAAGTTGATGTTTAATGAAAAATTAAAGACAAGTATGTTTTTAAAAATAAATTATTTATTTTTTGAAAAATAAAAATGACAAAATGAAATAGTTATTATAATAAATTAAGATTTTAGGGACAAGAATTTAGGAACAAAAACACATTTTAGTCACCATGTATTTTTGTTGCCAATAGTGTCATTATTATATTTTTAGTAACAAAATTTAGATATTACTGATGAATTATTATCCTCTTGGGATTAAAATTTGTGTCTCAAAAAAATTCTTTTTAAAACTAAATTATTTTATCCCGTTTATTTATTAGCGATATTTTCAAAGTTTTGTAGCTAAAAACTTTGTTTTTTACTTTTCGAGACGATTTTTTAACGACAATTCTTGCGACACCTAGAATTAATCCCCAAATATTTTTTGCAATAAAAAATTTTTAATCCCTAAATATCTTATATGTTGTAGTTGGCTATACTTATTAGATCGAGCTTTTTTTTCTCATACATGATATATAAATATAGCCTTACAACCACTCTAAAAGAAAAAAACCTTACAAAATAAACTTTTCAAGTTATTAAAACATGATCTGTCATGAGCTCACAAAACCAAACATAGTGGTCACTGTTATTATATTCATATAGATATGTGAATTTTTTTTTAAAAAAAACAATCAACTTGGATTAGTCAATAAGAAAATGCCAAATTTCTATTTAAATTCTTACTCCAAAACATATGGTAAATAAAAACAAAATACCTGGTAGGTGAAGGCCTGTGACTCTTTTGACTAATGGATTCCACTGCCAAAATGATTGACCATAATTGTGACAAGAAGTAAAAAATGTTACCATATTAACTTCTAAATTTCTATTGAATCTTTTTCATCTTCATTGCAAGAAAACGCATACAATTAATTTAGTCAGGGAAAATCTATTGATAAACTTCACAACCAATACCACTCCACTTCAGGTAAACACATGAAAGGTAAAGTAGTTAAATTAGTTCGCAAAATACCAATCTTTGCAAAGAATGAAATGAAACCTCCTTTTTTCCCTTTTCATAGACCTCAAGCTGGTAAAAGCTTAGCAAAAAACTTGTTATTGACCCTCAAACTCAGCACTAAAACCATTAGCGAAATTAGAAGCCAACAGTTGTCAAATCCTCAATTTAAGAAAGGGAACGAAAAGTATTGGTTGATGTATTTTTGCATGTCCACTACTAATTTCATCAATAAAGCTTTTATTTGCTGTTTAAAAAAAAAAAAAGAAAAAAAAGGAAAGGGAATGAAAAGTCCAGAAAAAATTGTATTGTATTTATTTCCTCTATTTTCACATCATTCGAACAGAATTCAAACATATAAAAAATCAAAATAATAAACCTGATAAGTTGAAGTTGTTAATATATCTGCAACAGCTAAAGCTAGATATGAACAGAAATTCCCACCATAGCTTATGCCCAACCCTCCTTTATTACATAGTAGAATAGATAAAATTGACAGTAACAAATATAAACATTTGCATCTTTACAAATAGATAAGGATCACACTTAGCATTTTCATAAATGTCAACCTAAAATGAAGGCAAAAGTAAATGAAATACAAGTTTAATTTTTTCACGTTTCCTGATCCTTTTCCTTTTCCTTTTGCTTCATAAATCCCTCCAAATTCTTCTTGCAAACATAGGCTTAAAGCAAAGAAATACAAATCCATGAAAGTAGAAGATACCAAAATAGCAAATAGAACAAATAAATAGACAACATGGTAAAGGTCAACCATAAGTTGGGGCGAAAAAAAATAAAGACAAAAAAATGGAATTTTTAAATAACATAGATTGGAATTCATGGAAGTAAACAACACCCAAAAAGAACAAAGACTACAAACTTTCTAACAACTAGCTCATGCTCAAAAGCCGAGATAAATTGCTAGTTCTAAAATGCGAGCTCCTAAATTCGAGAACCACTTTTCAAACACACCACCTGTCATCATTAAATGAAATTTGAAAGACATGTTCGATAGGGACAAGCAAAAAGTAGCAGTAGTTTTTTTTAATTTAACATCTGAATTACAAATGAAGAATGTGAAGAAAATTGAGTACCAACAATGACGCTAACAAAAAAGAAATACCAAGGGTTTTGATGCATTATAAAGCCTACAGATATATATAGAATCAGGACCTTTCAGTTCCTTTGTTGCAGATATGTATAAATTGCAAACAAAGAATAAGTCTATTTTTTAAAATGTTAAAACCATATAAGCAAAGAAAATTCAAGAACAAGAATGAGAAAGAAATGTGCAATTA